CTTGATGTTATATCGGTTTACAAAAAAGAGGATGTAGACATAAAATTTCAAAATTAGAAGTTTTAGTAATCATCTAAAGTTATTTCACAAATTAAAAAATAATTCCAAGGATTTAATGATGTGCTTTACCATAATCATAAGTTGTGCAAATGTATTGATAAAAACCATTAATATATGTTAAATACTATGCTAAGCATTTTATGGTATTACCTCATATAATAATTATCTGTAGTTATTTCAATTTATAGATGAAAAAATATATCCAATCAGTAGTAGAGCTGGGACTCAAAACTGAGACTGTGGAGATAGCAAAGCCAATCTCACAAGGCCAGCAAGAAATCAGGTCAGCTTCAAAGTGAAGGCATTAAAAGATGTGCAAGAACACCGTTGGGTGTAAGATGGGCCCCAACCATCTGCACTTATGCTGAACTTACCAAAATGTCAAACATTAAATCCCTTTAAAAACTGTCCTTAGCTAAGTCCAAGAACAAGAACTGGATTTCACCACATAGTCCGTATGTTTTTAGCCCTCCAATTCTTATAGAAGCATTTTGAAAGCACTTTCACTCCAAAACAAGTTAAAAAGATTGCTCTAATCAGCAACTCAACAGTTTAAACTACATGCTGGCTTAATAAAATATTTACATCACAGTTGGATATTATTTATCTATTGAAATATTTTCTACAAGGATATCATTTTTGTGAGATAGATTAGGAAATAGATTAAGGTAAAACATCTGAGAGATGGGCTCATTCATGGACAGAATTTATTGGATTCCCTTTGGAGCTGTTGTGGGATAATGAGGAGGAATGGAAACATGCATTCACATAACAATCATTTACTCATTTATCAAGAAAGAATTCAGCTGGTGTTATGTGGCAGACATGCTGTTAGTTGCTGTGCCTGCAGGTATTGCAAAGTATTGTCTTCTTAGTAAAGTGCAGATGGTTTTAAAATGTTACTGAGGAGGTATTTCCATAGTTCATCTGTAGAAGCAGGGTTTTTATGTTTCCTATTCTGCACGATTATTCTTTAATAGTTATAACAATTATGTAAAAGGACTAGGGATGTCATCTTACAGTTTTAGAATGTTAGATTTGGAAATACATCAAGGGCACCTTCTTCATTCCACAGATAGGGGACTGAGGCCAGGAGGCACAGTGACCCAGAAAAGTTTGCAGAACAACTTAGAGGCACAGACAGGAGTGAAACCAAACCTCCTTATTTCTACCTTGTCCTTATTTTATTACACTCCTGAAAATAAAGTCATAAGTGTTTATCTTCAAAGGTAAAATCCATTGTAACCCATTCTAGATATATAATAAGTCATGAATATCTCCCGCAAAGCTCATAACTCTCCAAATAATCTCAGTAGGTTTAGCATGCAATGCCAAGAAGGTCTTCATTATAAACTAAATAGTTCATTAAGATATTAAATCCAATACCTGCTTTGTATTTTTTTAAATGAAAAAGTATAACAATTGATGATTCAGTTAATTTGATAAATGTTCACTATAAACAATAAATTCCTACAAATTTTATAAGTTTTGGGGGTGCATTTTGAGGCTATCTGGAGCAAGAAATAATTATTCTGTTTTAGATTATATATTGTTTATGTAACATATATGTGTCAAATTATGTATAGCATCTGGTCAGCCCTCCATACTTGTGAGTTTTACATTCACAGATTCAACCAACTGTGGATCAAAACTATTTGGAAAAAAAGGGATGATTGTATCTGTACTGAACATGTACAGACTTGTTTCCTTCTCATTATTCTCTAAACAATACAGTATAACAACTCTTTGCTAATATTTACATGGCATTAGATATTTTAGGTAATCTAAAAATGATAGGGTACAAGTCCTAAAGAAAGACTACCAGATAAGCCAATAAAGTAATAGTAAAGGTAATTAAGAACTGATAATTTTAAGTTCGCTGCCACCAATAATCCCTCAATTACTGAAACTTGAACATAATCTTGTAATATGAATGGTTCTTCCAAAGAATCTCATAGACTCTAATTTGACAGTGATGAGTAACCCTGTAGGATTTTGAGGCAAAGGCTTTCAAATGGAGAATAAAGTGAATGTTAAAGAGAACACAGGCTCTTTGTGGTCTTCTGAATTAGTACATGGGAGGATGTGCATAGGTTATATGCAAATACTACACCACTTTATATCAGAGACTTGAGCATCCATAGCTTTTGGTATTTGAAGGGGGATCTTGGAACAGATCTCCCACCACCAACAAGAGGCAGCTATATGTGTCAAATCTTGGTCACCTACAAATTTGGATGTTTTTCTTTCTTCTATTTTATATATATATATATGTATATATATATATATATATATATATATATATATATATGCAGTTGTAGTTGGTTTCAACAGGAAACAGACTCTGATATTTACATGCAGATAGCTGGTCTAATGGGAAATAACACTATTTCCCACTGAGGCTGAGGAACAACACCTGTCAGAGGTGAGAAGATTGGGTTGGGCCAGGAAGTATTAATATTTGAATCTTGATGGATTGCAACAGTGGCTTCAGCCAATTCTGTGAGGTGCTCGGGGGCTGGGTTGGCTCTTCAGAGTTGTCCAACCTTGAGACAAGTAGCCCAGGCCTCTAAATGTCCCCAGCCCCTGTCTAGTCATTGGAAAGGAGATGCCTCTGGACATGGAACACAAGTTTGGGTGAGATGGCCCTAGTTAGCTGAGAGCAGTTCTTGGAGGAGGATTCAGCTGTTGACAGTTCAACAGCTGGAAGGGTGAAAGGCGCAGCCCTAAAATAGCATATGGACAACGATGGAGGGAATTGGAGTTGGTCTAGGACCTGTCTGCTGCTCTATAAAATAATCTTTAAAAAATGAGTGACCGAAATAGCATTGAGAAAATGAGACGAGGCAATTGGTGAGTAGTTGTTATTATACTTAAAATAGTTAATAAGGCTTAAGGTAGAGAGATGAGTTATAATTTGGACATGTCTCCTTTTTACATTTTCTGACAAAGCAATCCAGATTCTTTTGCTGGAAGGGAGATGTTTAAATGGCATAAGGCCTTTCCATGATTGTCTGGAGCTGTGGTTGGGAAGCCCAAACAGGCAACGACTGCAGATCAATTGCTGCATTGAAAAAAAGTTTATTCAATATTAACTTCTTAGGCAGGACTTTGGAAACTGGCCCAGTTCTCTACTGGCTTACCAAATACCTGGAAAATGAGACTTAAAAACAATAATGTAAATCAAAGGGTTAGGGCTGGGAGGACAGCTGCAGGTTCTTGAAGATAAAGCTTTTCCTGTGCAGTTTGGTATCACAGCCTGATGAGCAATGTGTTTGGGGGGTCGTTTCTGCTTGAGAGTAGGATAGAAAAATTAGGAAAGAAATTAAGCATTCTAAAGGGAATATTTTTAGATTTAGGAAGGTAAATAATTCAAAATGTCAACTCTGAAAATTAAAAAAAATCTCAAAAGTTTTATGTTCATCATTATGGAAATAGAGTTTATTTTCTATCCAAGTCACAATCACAAGATATTATTAGAGATATTTGTGACATATTAGAATGGTCTTGGGCTCCAGGATGTTGAAGATCAGAAAACTGTATTATAGCTTTGATCATTGAAAGAAAAGAGGGTATTTAACCTGGACTCCTTCTACCTAGAGAGCTGATGATGGCCTTTGAATATGAAATTCTGACATGCACAAAAGAAAATAAACTGATTTATATTGTGTTGCTCCAGAGAAAAGAACAAGAAGCAATGAGAAGACACAGGGAGAGAGATTTTGATTCAACCTAAGCAAGCACCTTCTGACATTAGGAGCAGGGAGTCCTGGGGAGATGGCTCCCTTCCCACTGAAAATCCTCACGCAGAGACAGGTGACTCTCTGCAGGGATGCTGAGGAGGTGTTTTCCAGACTGAATGGGACAGCAGGCCATATATCTGCAAAAGGCTTTCCGTATCCTGGGATTTTATTACTCTGGGTCCTCAGAGATGAATTTTTCCGCCTGGTTCCTTTTTGTTTTCAGTCATCCCCACCATGACCATGACTAGGTTGGTGTGTAAAGGGGGCTCTTGTTCTACATGGCCTCCTCCCTTGCATCTCTGATGTCGGTGCAGCCCAGAGAAGAGGGCAGGGCCTTGTAGTAGAAGAGTATGAATCTGGAATCAGGCAGTCTTACGTTTAAATTTTAGCGGTTACGTTGCCTATGTAAGTCATGCCACTTTTCTAACCAATTTATCTGCATAATACTTAAGTAATACTTAAGTAATAATACTTAAGTTAGGTGACAGGAATTATTTGAAAGTGCCTAGCTTCCAGTAGGTGTCCACAAATACAAATTTCTCTTTTTCCAGGACTCGGCATGTTTCTCTTGATTGTAGTTATTACGTGATCACATATAACGTTCAACAACTCAACTCCCTCTGGTACTTCCTTCTGCCAAAACTGAGGCTCAGAGATTCACTGTGGTTCAAAAAAGTCAGGAAGGAAATCAGAGAGGCCAAGAGGCAAAGCACAGCCTGGCCTGGTATTTCTTACTTTCTTTAGAACCCAGCACATCATCTTTCCCACTAAGTCGCCTGCCTTAGTCCTTACTTCTCTTTATAACATCATCATTGTCCACATCATCTGGCCCCTGGTCTCATCCATCTTGGGCAGGTGACTGAAAAGTCGAGCCAGTGTCCCTGGGAGATATTACCAGGCTTCCTGCAGGGAAGACAGGAGCATGGATGACTGGAGGAGCCAAGAACAGGATGGAGCATGGTGCAAGGAACGGGGGCAGGTTGAACATCCCCATCACACTGTGAAGTCACCTGAGATGGGACCTCCATCCCTGTTGCCTCTCCCAGTACCCTTCACGTGCCTAATGTTGGGGGGATAGATAGATATGGAAATCTGTCATTTTAGTAGAGTTCGGGAAATGCTCTTCTAAAAATTTAAAAGAGATCACAAAACCCTGATAGGATATTTTAAATGAGAGAGAAAAATGTAAATACTTACAAGAAAATCAATACACTTCCTCTGTGATTATATTGTTGAAAATAACAGAGACTCTTTTCATGATTTGCTCAGCTTTTGTTTGTGTAAATCTGAATCTATGACATGTGTCACTCTGAGGGAAGACCCTTTTACTGGTTCTATGTGCTGATGCCCTTGATATCCCAGGGTGTGCTAGTGATAGCTGAGACCTGCAAGCCTCTCTGGATGGTTGCTGTGGGGAAGGGAGCTGCTTCCATGATTTCTCACTTCTCATTGTGACATCACCATTGTCTACCTCATCTGCCTCTGGTCTCTTCTGCAGGCCCAGACATCTTAGGCAGGTGGCTGAAAAGTGGAGTCAGTGTCCCCAGGACATAGGGAAGTCCCTCCGCATTGAATGGAACTGGCTTCTTTGTATCCTCTCCTATAGTCCTGGGGCAATGACTGACTGCCTCATGTGCAAAAAAGAAAAAAGCAAAAACCCCTGCATTCATGCCTCAAGACTGAGCAGACTCTGTGATACAGTTTATTCCCCAGAGGCTCCATGGGATTAGGCTGAAGCCCAAGTGCATTGGAGACCACGTCCTTTTTCACTTTTCTTCCCACTTTCCCAGTATGGCCCCCACCAACCCCTACAGGTTTCTTGTGAGCTCACTCCATTAATACATATCTTGCACAAACATCCCCTTCTCAGGTTCTGCTCCAGGGAACTGTACCCAAGACACTGTCACCATCTATCTCTCAATGCCACATACCTGTCATCCCACACAGCAAAAGGAATCCCACCTAACAGGATAAAAGCACAACTGCAGACACGCTCACTGCCCCCACAACGAGGAGACAAATTAAAAGTCTCATCTGGAGAGGGCTTTTTGAAGCCACTGTTCTTGGAGACTGTTATCTCTGGGTGAGACCATTTCCCCTATTTCTGTTTTAATTTTTTACATTTTCAAAATGAGAAAAACAGTGGGTGCAATGGCTCATATCTGTAGTCCTAGCACTTTGAGAAGCTGAGGTGGGAGGATCACTTTAGGCCAGGAGTTTGAGACCAGCCTGGGCAATATAGTGAGACCCCATTTTCACTAAAAAAGAAAAAAATAACTGAGGGTGGTGGCATGCACCTGTTGTCACAGTTACTCTGGAGGCTGAGGTGAGAGGGTCTTTTAAACTTAGGAATTTAAGGCTGCAGTGAGCTATGATTGTGCCACTGCACCCCAGCCTGGGTGATGGAATGAGATCCTGTCCCAAAAAAATAAAATAAAATTGATAGGCCTGGCTAAGTGGCTCACATCTGTATTCCCAGCAGTTTGGGAGGCCAAGGGAGGTGGATCACACAAGGTCAGGGGTTCGAGACCAGCCTGGCCAACATGGTGAAACCCAGTCTCTACTAAAAATGGAAAAATTAGCTGGGCATGGTGACAGGTGCCTGCAGTCCCAGCTACTCAGTAGGCTGAGGCAGGAGAATCGCTTGAATCCAGGAGGTGGAGGTTGCAGTGAGCTGAGATAGTTCCATTGCACTCTGGCCTGGGCAACAAGAGTGAAACTCCATCTCAAAAAAAAAAATTAATAAAGGAGGAAGGTTGAACAAATCACCAAGATCATGTCACATGTTGCTTGAGACTGGAGGCTTCTACAGGGACAATGAAGTACAGGAAAGGACTCACGACTCTCATAAATGTTAATTTGCTGATTAATCTATTTGGTAACAAAGTAAATTACCTGGCCAGCCAGAAGGACTGTTGCAGACTCTGCCCTCCAGGAGAATTTTGCTTGGTCACTGTTCTTCCAGAGCATCTGGGAGGTTTTCTCTGTGGAGGTGGGACAGGGAGGTGTTATTCGCTCTCAGCTATTACCAACATTGTATACTTAAGCATTTCAGGGGGCCGTTAGTTTGAGGGATTTTTCTTGCACGACCATTCATGTAAAACCATGGTCAGCTGTCTGCCAGTTTCATTTTTGAGAACTGTATCGGTCAGGAATATTGTTGACACATTGACACATCTTTGTGACTCTCCTGGCTGGCTATACTCCCAGGGCTAAGCCATACCTGTGAGTATTCTGATTTTTAGAGGAACTTCTGGGGCTCCACCTATTTTCGTGATTTTTTTCCTCAATGACCTCAGAGCATGAGCAGGATATTATGGATTGGAGTATTGGCATGGATTTCAGGGTATATTTCTTCTCAAATCTGCTTTGGAGTCTTGCCAAAATATTGCATCACAGCCAATTGAGTATTTCAAGGGGAGGCAGGCATCATTTTGACTTGGTGATGGAGAAGGTGCATTCTGAAGGGCTTGCTAACAGTTCTGGCTCCTCCTATGTATCCTCATTCCAATTGCTGGTAATCTTCAGTTTTTGAATCAGTTCATAATCTCAGTCTCTCTCTCTCTCTCTCTCTCTCTCTCTCGCACACACACACACACACACACACACACACACACACAGCCCTGTGGCCACCACACAGTTTGGCCAAACTAATAGCGGATGCTGTGCTCTGGCCTTCTGTGTCCATGGGCTGTCCTCTATTCTGCTTCTGTTGACTTCTGCTGGGCAGCGTGGACTGAGGCTTGCCATGTCTCTTACCTTTACTGAAAGCCACAAAAAATCAATAACTCAATCCGATATTCTGGCATTTAAAATGATAAATTCCTCTAAAATCTCACTATCTGATGAAGTAAGATGTCAGATTCCCAAGAAACAAGACATACTGCCATTGTCAAATGTGCCCTGTGGCTCTCTATTCCAGGACAATAACTTCTTGCTGGTCCCAATCCACTTTTTCTCTGCAACCCATTTTGAATACCAATTTTCATATTAGTTTCAGTGATTTGACAGCAAGTGATAGAAATCCTCACAATGTGGTAGAAATCTTCCACATCTAGAGAAGACTAAAATAGGATACAGTAGAATCTCCTGGAATTTTAGGGTAAGAGTGAACTTTAGCCTCTGTTCCATTTTGTGTTGCTGGGAAACCAACTCCAAAAAGTAGTGGCATAGAACCACCATTTTATGTGCTTCTGAATACTGTGGTTGAGGAATTCAGACAGGACATGACAGGGATGGCATGGTTTGCACTGTGCTCCACAATGTCTGGGCCTCCGCTGGAGGACTCAGAGCCTGGGGATATGCAAGGCACCTGGGAACTAGAGTCCTGGAGATGTTATCATCTCTGTGTGTGTTGTGGTTGATGCTGGTTGTCAGCAGACCCTCATTTGGGGTTGTCACTGGAACATCTACATGACCTCTTCATGTGGCTTGGGCCTCCTCACAACATGGTGGCCTAAGATGGTCAGACTCTTCATAGAGTGGCGCAGAACTCCAAAGGCAAATGCCTCAGCCCAGAAGGCAGAAGCTGACTTGCCTTTTGTGACCTAGCTTTAGAAGTCACACAGCATTAATTTTGCTGCATTCTCTTGGTTACAAGTGAGTCACAAGCTTGACCAGACTCAAAAGGAGGTGAACTGCACTCTACCTCTTAATGGGAAAATGAATGGCAAGGTCTTAGAAGAGCATAGGGAATGGGAGATGATACTGGTTTAGCCATCTTTGGAAAACACAATCTAGAGCTTCTGCATGATATAAAAATCAGTATTTGGAAAACCATCAGGTACATGAACGGTTTCTTTACACCTATTGCGTACTTCTTTCCATTTCTATTATGAGTTGCTTTTCAGGTTACCTGTGTGATAGAGGAGAAAATGATTTTATGATCTTCAACATTATGTTTTTAAAATTGGGACAGCAATCCCTCATAAGGTTTTTTTGGGGAAATTGGTGAGATATTCCAGATAAACAAGCCTATTATACAATAAATAAAGGTTGTACAGCTCTAATTACAAACTACCAAGAATTACGATCTAATTTTCTCATATAGGATCTGGTGCCCTCCCTGTTTCGGACAGGTGTGCTGGGAACAGGGTCATGGGCCCAAGCACGAGCTCAGGGGCTCTCTTTAAACCCGGCGGACACTCCATAAGGGCCTGCCACATTTCTTTTGCTTTGCTTTGCTTCCCCAGCTTATTTTAATGCTGTGTTATCAGACACAGAATTTCTATTCTCCCATTAAAAGTATGTACCCTCTTAGAATTCCCCAAGTGCCCTTTGCAATTAGCAAAACCTGTGTAAATAGTTAATGAAACTCATCAGACTCACAGTAGAGATTGCAATGCTGCTTTGGCATAGTACTTTGTGGGTATCAATTGATTCTTCTTTCTTATACCATTTTTGTTTGAGGCAGGCCTAGGATAAATCTTGAGGTTGGCAAACTTGCCTCAGTTTTCTTTGCATGATTACCTTCATTATCTATACCAGACATGGTGTGTGAGTATGCGTGCATGTATACACACACACACACACACACACACACACACACACCCCTAGGGATTCAGTGCCCAGAGTCTTAGACTTCATTCTTTCCTGAAAGTCATAATGGCCATGTTTTGGCCTGCTCTACCTGGGCAGTGTTCATCATTTCTTGAACTTGCTTTGATAAATAAATTTTAACCTGGTTCCAAGTAGGTTATAATATCAAAAAGAACATCAGAGACATTCTATTGTTGATAGCCATATGGTAGAGTATAAATTCTTAAGGGGGCAGAGACTTTAGTTTGTTTTATTAATTGCTGTATCAATAGCATTTGGAACAGTGCCCAGCATTATAGTGCCTGCTCAATGAGTACTTGTTCCATGTGAAATACACAGGTTCATGTGCTATCCCTCAAAGGGATATTTGCAGTTTTGTGCTCAGGGTTAGAAACTTAAAAGAATAAAAGACTGCCAGTCATAAGCTTTAAGATAAGAGATATTTCTGGGGGAGACGTAGCTCACAGTGTCCCTTAAGTAACAATTATGCAGCTATCTTCACCCATTAATGCTTTTGCACATGCTAAACCCACTTTCTCCATTCATGTTCTTGGTACTATCTGCTCAAATTTAGCAAGAGAAGGTGGGTTTTGGGATTTGGTGATTAGTGCAATTTGTGGACCAGTGACTCACCTAGTACTTGTTTGCATGACTTGAGAGTCTTGGATTTTGCCTGAACTATGACAGGGAATAGTTTTCCTATCAAGGGTGGCCTAGAGTTTGTTTCCCATTTGGTCCCCTTGACTTTCCTTTTCTTCTTTATTGGAGGCAGAATTAGAAGCAGAAACTAAGGGATGTGTTTTTATATGACTTCTTAAGGCTTTGCATATAGAAAATGTACATTTTGGGCTTAGG